AACGTTAACTAACCTGCAGGTCACAGTTAGCAGGGGGAGTGGGGACCTGAACCCAGAGGCTGCAACTCTAGAGTCCATGTTCTTCGCCAACCCCACCCCACCGTCCCAGGGTGCACGGGGCGCCCGGGTGGCCCCAGCAAGCCCCGCCTCGTGGGCTTGTGCATCCCAGGCACGTGAGGAAGCAGCTGTGAGGTGAAGGGCTCAGGGGTGGGTGGGGGAAGGTGGGGAAAGGAAGACCTCTGGGAGGCAGAGAAGGAAAGAGCGCCCCAAAAGAGTGGGAGAGCAGGTGAGGATGGGGAGCCCTGGAGGGGGCAGTGAGAGGGGAGACAGGACAGTGGGGCAGAGGACAGAAGGGAGGGGGTTGGGAGGGCGACAGAAAGAAAAGGGGAAACAGAAGGAGCAAAAGGAAGGGAGAGGCGGGGAGTGAGCCACAGAGAAGCCGGAGGAACACAGAGGCCAAGAGCGTCAGGGAAGGACAGAGCAGGAGGACAGGGTGGAGGGGAGGTCAGGGAGGGAGGGGCGGAGAGAGCAAACCCACCCACCCAACATTAAACACCTAACAGGAGATGACAAATCAAATGGGAATTACTGCGGTAAAAACATAATTAGAAACTTGATTGAAGTTAAACAGAATTTACATAACACTGCAAATTAACTTTACACGGAAACTATTCACTGGGAAGGCAATGACAAGGCATTTCATTAGTAATCTATATTTAAACAATAGGCACAATGGAGCCTTCTGATGAGGAACTTGGTGCCTTCCACGGAGCCAGTGCCAAAGGCTGCGGAAAAATCAAGCACAGTGGGTGCTCCAAGTGGAAGTGGGCAGGGCCCAGGGCACGATCCCTGCGCCTGCTCCATCGTGCACCCGCTGGAGGAGGGAAGGGCGGGAGACACAAACAGGCCAGATGAGATTCTGGTGCCAGTTATGTCCTTGACTTGCTGTGTGGCCGTGGGCAAGTGTCTTACCTTCTCTGAGCCTCCAATGAGGAGGCTGGAGGCAGTTTACAAGCCCAGATATTCTAAGAGAGCCCAGGAGCCCACAGAGGTGGGACGCGCCCGGTTCATAGCCGCTCCTTGCCAACTTGTTAGCTGTGGCATCACGCAAGCATTTTCCTCCCGGGCCCTGGGTCACCCATCTGTTCAGTGGAGCTAAGTTCAGCCCTGCCCGACATCACCAAGGCAGTGGAAGGATTTAGGGTGGAGACAGGCTTAAAGAAAAGTGAGTCTAAAGGCACAGGATTACTGTCCCATAGCCTGGCATGCTAATGAGATCACCCACGGCCTCCTGCCACTGACCTGCCACAGAGACATGCACACCCGAGCAGCTCCACTCCCCAGTCCCCGATGCAGAGCCAGGGGGGCAACTGCCCCGAATCCTTCCCGAGGCAGAGGGGGCCAGCAAGTCCCTGCCTGGCTCCATGCGATTTTTTGCGTGGAGAAGTCTCCAGAGCCTTCTCTCCTGTCCCAGTCACACCAGACTGCACTCGCTCGGCAGACGGGCTGGACTTTGCTCCTGCGGCTCCTGTGGCCAAGACCCACTCTCCTCCCCACCCCCACCGCGTCGTGCATGCCCTGTGGAGCACCTGCCTGGCCCTGAGCAGCCTCCCCTGGCTGAGCCGTGGCCATTCTCTCTGCTGGGCACCTGCTGTGCTTGCCGTTGCACTGGGAGTTGCTGGTTCTTTACCTGTCCCCCTGACCACCCCTGCTGGACTGCCAGCTGTCACCGTGGGGACCCTCCATTGTCATCTCTGTACACCCTGCCCTGAGCCCTGCGCTTGGCACAACACAGGTGCTTAGCAAAAGCTGGTTGACCTCAGAGTGGTCGGGCAGACTTCCTGGAGAGGGTGGGACTGGAGCTGCACCCTGGAGGGGGAGAGGGCCCAGCACCTCTCACCTGGAGGGAGGGGTGAGTAGGCCCAGAGCCAAACCTCAGCCACAGCAGAGGGACAGCTCAGAAGCTCTGGGTATTTTTCCAGTCTCTGGGTTGTCCTATCCCATGAACTACAACACAGGGCAGCTGCAGCTCCCAAAGTCACACTGCTGGAGGGTGGCAGAGCTGGAATTCTAACCCAGGCTTGGGCCTCTGAGCACTGAAAGGCCATGTCCAGGAGCTGGGCAAGAGGGAGCAGCTGGGAGCTCCCAGAAGGCAGGGACCACACCTGATTCTCAGGGTCCCACCCAGCCTGAGCCCTGGCCCAGAGAGGACACTGCTGATGTTTGCAGTAGAGGCCGAGAGACAGACAGACAGAGACATAGAGACAGAAAGCGAGGGAAGAGATCAAGCAAAAAGCAACACAGACACACATGTACACAATTCCCGCCAAAGGCAGAGCTCTAACTGGCAAGTGGGCGGCTGTGACAACCACTCATGGCCTGGGAAGACTGAGTTGCTTCAAGATAAAGGATGCGCGCATGCTCAGGAATGCGACAGGGAGCTGTCGGTGCCCTTCCTGCTGTGGGCAGCACATGGGCTGCCACCCGGAGCCCTGGTTTCAGATGAGTGCTGCAGGCAACGGGGAGGTCCAGTGATCAGGAGAGCTAGGTGAAGCGTCTCAAAAGGAAGTGCAAAAGTGGGCAGACTTGAGGGCAAGAGGCTCCGCTGGGGTCAGGGAGTCTGGCCAGGAAGAAAGGGAGGGCCCAGACATGGGCTCACCCACAGCCCAGCCAGACACCCATGGGCCTTCGCCCTGCGTGGCCACGTGTGGGCACCAAGACGGTCTGGTCCCTCCTCCTCTCCACCACCTTCTCCTACTATGGCTCATTTATAGAGGCCTCTGAGCCTTTGTGTGTGCTGTTCCCTCACCCTGCTTTGCCCAGCAATCTTCCTCATCCATTCGGAGCCTGCTCTCTCTGTTCTCCTGCCTCCCGGCTGCACCTCCTACCCCCTTCTATGGGGTCTCCCTCCCACTAAGGGCCAGATGCCGGGTGACTCAGACTCCCGACCCTCTGAACTGCCAGCACTCCCGAGGTGATCTCCCCAGCCTCACGGCTCCAACACCATCTACACACGACAACTCCCAAATTTATCTCTCTGGTCCGGGACCTCGCTCTGCCTTCCAGACTCATACATACAGCTGCCCACTCAATCTTTCCACTTGGCTGTCTTGAAGGCATCTCGAACTTAACGTGTCTAAAACAGAACTCCTCGGCCCCATGCGGCCCTCCTGGGCCGTCATCACTGGCTGAGTAAATGCCCACCTCCATCCTACCACTGGCTCCTGTCCCAAAGCCAAGAGCCTTCCTTGACTGTCCCCATCTTTTTTAATCCTCCACCTCTAGTCCCCCAGCAAGCCTGTCTGCTGGGTCTCTGCAATATAGTCGGCCTTCAGCGGCTTCTCATCTCCGCCCGACCCCCCACCGCCCACTAGTCCAAGCCCCCACCACCTCTGCTGGGATGTGAGCAGCAGCATCCCAGCGACCTCTCTCTCCACGCTTGCCCATCTACAGGGGCGGATCCTCATGATCTCTCCGATTTCCTCACTTCCCTCCGGCCACACGGGCTTCCCTGCTAGTTCCTTGAACAGGCCAAGTGCACCCCTGCTCACTCCCTGGTCCCATTCAGGTCTCTGTTCAAATGCCACTAATCAGAGGCGTTCCTTGACCACCCTGTGTCAAAGAACACCTGACCCTACCCTGTAGACTCCTGTCCTTATCTGGCTTAATTTCTCTTCTTAAAACCTAGTGCCACCTGACATATCGTATATTTGCTTTTTAGGTATTTACCGTCTGTGTTTCCCCTGAGAATCTCAGTACCGAGGGCAGGGAGTTTTGTCTGTTTTGTTCCCTGCTGTAACTCCAATACTTCAAGCATCCCTGATACAGGGACTTTCTCAGTAAACATCTGGGGAATGAATAAAAGAACAATGCTGCTTCCTCTTCCCTGAGTGTCTGCCTGCAGAATCGGCACTCGGCCCCTCCTCGCCTCCCGCTGTTGTCACAGTGCACAAGCTTTGTGCACCGCCCTTAGGTGACTGAGTCTGGCTGCGGGATCCTGAGTCTGCCTCCAGCGCACACAACACCCTCTCCGGGCTGGGCTAGATCTGCTCCGTCTTTAAAACCCAGCCCTTAGTGCAGGTCTGGCCAGTACGAGATTCAGTGAGTGTTTGATGAGTGAATGAATGAGTAACTGGGTGGTTAGAGGAATGGGTAGATGGATGGGTGGGTGGGTGAGTGGATGGATGAATAGATAGAAGGATGGCTAGAAGGACGGATGGGCAGGCGAGCGGATGGATGATGGGTGGGTGTACAGGTCCCACCACAGGCACACAGTAAAGACTAGTGGTTGCTTGGGCTCAATAGCAGGACTTTTCTGGGGAGGATGGGTCAGAGCAGTGCAGTGCAGTGAAAGTGTAGAAGCTGGTATGCAAATAGGATAATGCCAAGCTGCTCTGGTGTGGCCAGAGCTTGCTGTGTGGTCCCTGGCAGGCCCATTAACTTCCCTGTGCCTTGGTCTCATGGTCTGAAAATGCAGACAATAATTCTTGCCCAAAGCTGCCAGGAAGATCAATGCGGAGTTTCAAATGCTGCCACAAAGGAGACAACGGCCACATCTCCAATGAAACACATCTCTGGCTAGGTCTGCCTTCTCCTCTCAAGCCCCATCTGGCCCTGCTGACCTTGTAGCCTTATAATGCTACCTACCCCCCAGGGGCTGGGACCCCTGGCTACAGCCCCAGAGTTCAAACTGAGCCAGGCTGCTAAGATGGCTTAACTCCAAATAACAATCACACGCACCGATTCACAGAATCCTCAAGAATTGCACCAAGTGGGGGACCTGAGCCCGGCACCCATTTTAGAGACAAACTCAAGCCCAGAAGCAGTTTGTGGCGGTGTGGGCAGAGAAGCCCTGTGGCCGGGGTGAGGAAGGGCTAGGAGAAGGGCTCACAACCTCAGCTCTGGTCTAGCCCCATCGCTTCCCGGCCGCCCGACCTTGCCCTGCCCAGGTTTTAGGCGAAGGTGGTGGTGTGGCCCAGGCATCAGGGGTCTGGTGTTACCTTTGCGGGTCTGGCAGCTCAGTGGCGGAAGACGGCTCCTGTCCTCACACCCCTTGCAGCATTGGTCTGACGCCAACGGGCCTCCTCCTCTTCCTCCTGGGTACACGGAGAGAGACGGGACACGTGTGGGCAGCCGGCGAGACAGCCGTCCACTCTCTCCTACCTCTGTCCCCGCTGCCGGGCTAATCTCAGTGGCCTCTTGGGCCGCTCAGGCACGCCCTGGGATGCCTGATTTATCAGAGTCGGCCGTGTCTTCCCTGCCCAGCCGCGCTCCAACAGGCAAGCCAATTCCTCCTAGCGGGATTTTTAGATATATATGTAAGTTTTGTTTCTTTGGGGGCTTGGGGACTTTGTGTTGTCGTCTTTCCCTTCTTGGTAAGAAAAGCAGAAAGCATCACCTTCCTGTGTGGCCCCGGGGCAGGGTGACCGGGGAGAAGCTGTCGGGGGTATTTTTAGCTGAGCGTACAAAGCCCTTGCCACCCTCTCCTCTCTGCGCCGTGCCTGGCTTCGGGGAATTATCTCACACGGCCGGCCAGCAGCCACTTCCAAAGCCACTCTTTGACCCCTGCCTGGATTCTTTCCCCATTATGAACTGCTCCCCAGATCTCCGACCAACCCTCGGAGCCATTCCACGCACGCGCGCACCTCCTTGGGAAAACCCGCTCACCCCCCTCGCCCCTCCTGCGAGGTTTAGGGCTGGCTGTTTTGCTTAAAACTGGTGGAGGAGGCCCAGATAGATGTGAAAACAGAAAAGAGCCCTGGTGATGATTTATATCGCGTCCCCCAAACCTCAGCTCTTCCCCCCATTCCCTGCACGATGCTTGGTTCAGAGCCGAGACCTACCTGTGTGATGACTTAATTAATAATTCACCTTCAACTCACTTTTTAAGCTCCAATAAATCTGGCCTTGTCCAAAGCAATCATGTCCATGAAATAATTGGTTTGATAGGCTAGTTATATATTTCTAACACACCTTAATAAATTATAACCAATAAAATAAAAATACATGTTCTTGTGGGTACTACCTAATGCCAGAATCCTGTCACAGACTACCAGAGTCACGTGGGCCAAGCTTTGGCCAAGTCCCTGCTGTGCGTCACCCCTCGCGTTGTGCAGGAGGAGGAGGAGCAGGAGACGGCTGGTTGGCTGGGGGCCCCAGAATCAGTAAGCACAGCAGGCCGAGGGAGGCCGGGACTCAGAGGCACGGTGTGCCGAGCTCCTGCCACCGTCCTCTCTTCCCAGCACTGGGCGAGACCATTCCTAGTCCCACAGCTGAACTCTGCTGGGAGGACCCAGGCTGATGGGCACGGGGACCTCCTGAGGATGGAGTGCCCCAAAGGAGGGCCGCAGGCCGTGCTGAGGCCCAGGGTGCAGGATGACGTCTTTTCCCAGCATCCTCTGAGGTTCACTGCTGCCCACCCCCCCAGCTCCCCTCGCTGTTGTGGGTCCACAGGGCTGAAGGTTAATCCCCTTTCTAGGCAGACTTGGAAGCACAGAACATGCCCCTGAGCCCTGCAACTTGCACACTCTGCCCTCGGACCCTGAGGGCTCGTGGGGTGGCCTCATGCCCTCTCTGGGCCTCGGTCCCCTGTATGTTCCTTGAGAGGCAGGCCCTGGTGACCCCAGAGGCCTCGCAGCTCTGGGGCCTCCCTGACGCTCTCTGTCCTCTCTTGTTCTGCCCACAGGTTGGAGACCCTGGCTGGGCCCCTGGCCCGGTGCCAGCTGCCTGCCCCTCCTGCTGAGAACAGGATGTGGGTGTCAGGAGGTGAAGGAGAGTGTGGGGGTCGGGGTGGGGAGTGGCCTTGGGAGGGACTTCCTGAAGCCAGATCGGTTTACCACAGTCAGTTGGGCCCGGGACCGCACAGCTGTGAGTTATAAATGTCCCTGCCGTAGCCCAGGCTGAGAGGCCCTGCTGTTGGCGGAGGCGCCAGGGCCCACGGCGCCCACCCTGGGGGCCTCCGCAGTCAAGGGCCAGTCCTCTCAGAGGCCCAACTGTCCAGCCCTCATGACCTCTGAACTCTCTTGACTCCTCTCTGAAATGCCTGGCATAACGAGGTCTAATACGGCCTTCCCCTGAGCACGCCTTGCCCTTCCAGGTGCGAAGCTTGTGGTTCCAGCTACCCCAAGAGCTCCCCAGAAGGCAGGGACCATCCTGAGCCTGCACCCGGTGCCAGCCCGGGGCTTGGCGCACAGCCAGTCCCCCAGGGGCGGCTGCAGGGGGCAACTGCTCCAGCTAGGCAGCCTGCTTCCCACAGCCCCACCCGCCCCTGCCTGCCTACCAGGGCACACGGGGCAGCAGGGCCAGGCTGGGAAGCTTAAGCTTCATGAGCTACCTGGTCAGTCCCCCCTCTAATCATAATAGTGATGAAACTCGTAATAATAATACATAACATTAAAGGACCCTGAGCTGTACTGTTTGAAGTACTTAATGTGAATTAATTCACTTAATCTCACCACAATCTATGAGGTAGGTACTGTACCTATTTTTAACAGATGAGGAAACAGAGAGGTTAAGAAACCACCCTGAGGACACACAGCCAGGATGTGAGCCCAAACAGCCTGGCATTGATGCTGCTGCCAGCACTCACTACTCCCTGATACCACTCTGGAGGGGCCAGGAGAGTTTTCCTTCCCTGAGAGGCTCCGAAGGCAGCAGCAACCGAGGGCTGAGGCTAAGCAAGTCCCCCATGCTGAAATCATTCATTCACCCCCCACACAGGCTCTAAGCACCGAGCACGGGGATCTCAGCAGTACACAGGGGCCTCCTGTTTGCCTTGCCCTGCCCAGAGCACGCTGGGGTCCTCTCCGTTGGCACAAGTGGGCACCACCTCGACTATCCAGGACTGGCTGGGGAGGGGGGGTCCTAAAGATGGGTTGGGCCTATCCCAAGGAGACCCCAGCGGGGCAGGGGGAGGGGAGAAGGTCACACAGCAGGTTTGTTGTCCAATCCCCTCATTTTACAGTAAGCAAAGGCGGCTTGGAGGGCAGTGACTTCCTAGACAGTGGTGACCCCATGTGCAGTGACTTCCCAGCGAGTGGTGACCCCATGTGAGGTCAGAGGCTACTCTTCTGGAGGGGTGGGGCAGGTTGCCTGCAGCCTAGGGGTGGCCAAGGCCTGGAGCTGGTGGGACAGGAGGGACAGGCTTGTCAGGCAGCAGGGGGAGGAGGCAGGTGCCTTTTGGCCTCCTCGGAACAGTGCCTTTGTTTTCTCTCTTTGTTTTCCATCTGCCCACTCCAGGCTTCCCCTGATTGTGTGCAGGGTGATAAAAGGGCTGATGAGGGGAGATCTCTGGCGGCAGCGGGGTCGCGTCGCACAGACACCGCGGCGGCGGGTGGGCGGCCGAGGGGGGCCCCGGCCTGGAACTGGGTTTGTCTCCAGCCACACAGAGTCCTTCTCTGGGGGGCTCTTTGCACGTGGCTCTCGGAAGCCTTTTGGCACAACCATCCCCCATTTTACAGAGGAGGAGACTGAGGCTCCGGGAAGCAGCAGCCAGACTGGAGCCCTGGCCCTCAGATTCCAGACCCTCTGGGTTTCCACTGGGCCGAGCTGACCTGGCCCTAAACTCTCTGGCCACCAGACAACACCTGGGTTTGTCAAAGCCTTTCTCCCCTTCATTTGAGTATGGGCCGTTTTCAGACTGGCCAGGAAGAAAGAGAGCAGAGGGCCAGTTGGGATCTCACCTACGAATGCCAGGGAGGCAGGCCCGCCAGGGGGTCCCGAGAAGTGACTCTCCAGCATCTGGTCACTTGGTACGAAACGGGGTAGAGTCCGACTTCCTGGCCTCCCTGTAACAGAGTCCCCATGAAACTGCCCCTGGGAGGGAAATAACTCCTCTCTCATGGGCTAATGCTGACCGAGGGCAGGGCTGGGAGAGGAGGGCATGACCCAGGGCACTGTCTGCCTGCTCATGTGAGGGGCACTGCTGGCCGGCAGCCAGGGACTGGCCCACCCAGCCCCAGGT